GTAACCACTCACCCCAATCCAAGAATGGTTAGTTCTTATGATGCGTCCCTGCTTGATGCTCACCCTCAGGAAGAGATCAGTAATGATATGGTGCTATAGCCAAATGTGGCAAAGAAACCAGAACAGCACCTGGAGTCTTAAAGACTTCTCTTCAAACAAGCAGCCATCGAAGGGAGGCCTCAACTAGGTCCACATGGAAGAAGCACACCAGCCTGCGTGATCCAAGGATTGTAAGTAATAAAATCCAAAGCTGAGGGAGGGAATGGTATCAGCGCTTAAACTGTGGACCTCTGATTTGTAGAAGGCTATGGATGCCGCGGGAGGCCCAAGGTCTATTTGCAGGGTCCACGCATGGATCACGCCTCTCGTGAACCCCTCTGGCCATAGACCAAAGATGTGACTGGCCTTGCTGTCAGGCAGAGTACAGTGTGAAGCAGATTATGACAGACGCAATTAGGTGAAAGATGAACACTTTATTGTATGCTCTCCCCTTTCGACTAATTTAAAATTTTTCTAGTGTTTTTAATACTTTTTGAGGTTTTTTTCTGTTTTAATTGAGGTTCTTCTCTGTTTTACTTTAACATTGTTATTGGGGTTTTTTTGTTCTTGTTTTTGGTGTGTGATAGGTCGAGCTATAGAGACAATGACTGCATTTATGGTTTCTTGGACAGTAGGGAGAAATGGGGAGCTATCAGCAATGAGTACAAGAAAGAAGAAAATGTCCTAAAATTAAGGTGATGCTTGTGGAACTCTTTTTAATATGATTGGACTATTGAATTGTACGATATATAAATTATAAGACAATTAAGCTGTTAAAATAAATAAACTCACACTTACTTCGTACTTCTTACAGTAGGATTCATTTTCTGAATCCTTTTGCGCTTTCTGTAGCTTTTCCTCCTGGAAAGTTAACCAAGCTGCCGCGTCTTCGGACTTCTTTGCCTGTAATTCACAAAAGCAAAAAACACACATTTCAAATGACATCCTGAGTAGGCTTGATCCTCACCCCCACACCCCCGTCCTTAAATTAATAGCATCAACAACTTCAAAATGTGAGTGAAATAAGGCGACCATGTTACACCGGGGACTCACTGTGTGTGCCAATGAGGAATTGTGCTGATTCAGGCAGCTTCTCCCGTTTTAAAATGGACAGCGGCTAGCACCTGACTGAAGTTGTGTGTGGGAGGAACAGATCCAGGGAACCCTTCTCAGGGCTGAGTCCCTTTCAGTTCGCCCTTTGTCGAGAAAATGATTCTCAATCGCCTCTTCATGGATGAGCATCTCCTAGTGACGTTCTAGTAAATCTAACTCAGGTTTTTCAAGCGGTTCACGCGCTGCAAAACCTGACATCAAACAGTCTCGGACATTTTAAAGAACTTAAGCGTGCAACGACTAAACATTTGGGCTGTGCTCCATATGGAAGTGAACAACAATGACTTCTTTCTTCCGATTCGTGCTTGGGCGATTATTCCGTCCTCCCTGAGTGCTCATGTGTTTTTCTATGAAGCAAAGGTGCCATCTGATCTTCTGGCATCCAATTTCATGGGCAGTTGGGTTTTTTATTTAATTTCTTAGTATGAAAATTAATTGGAAAGGAGTAGCCCCACAGCGGGTCAGAAATAAGGGAACTTCTTTCAGGGTCTGCCCCATTCTGGCTGAGTGCCCCAATCCCAGCACTGGGAAGACACAGGCGTAGTGTGTCCGTGAAATGTGATAATGGGCCTGCATGTAATGTCTGGAGAGAACAGTCTGACACACATTTTCAAATACTATCCAGAACTGTTTTACTAAATTTGCAGCTCGCAATCATCTTCGTAGAAGCAAGGTAAGTGTTCTGTCTCAGTTCACTCATTTTTATGAACTTTCCATCCACAAGACTTTATGTAACTGTCTGGAGGTCCATGGGGAAAACGGAATGATCA